ACATCTTGAATTAGTCACAGATGCCTCTACGCCCACCTTCATGTCTGCCTTCAAGCGATTTGTAGCGCGAAGAGGGCATTGCACTCGGCTGTATAGCGATCAAGGAACAAATTTTGTCGGAGCTGCGCGACAGTTGCGTTCACGTTTCTATCTGGCGCAAAATCAATTAAAAGAACTGGCTGCCGTGTTAGCTAACGATGGAACGGAATGGAGGTTCAACCCTCCGGGAGCCCCCCATTTTGGTGGTCTTTGGGAGGCTGGGGTCAAGGCTTTGAAGTATCATATGAGGCGAATTATTGGGAACAATTTGTTGACATATGAAGAACTGCTGACCGTTCTGGTTCAAATCGAGTCTTGTTTGAATTCGAGACCTTTGTACCCAATGAGTAATGATCCTAATGATCAAAGGGTATTAACCCCCGCCCATTTCTTGCTTGCTGAGCCATCCTCTTGTGTCCCGGAAGATGACCTATTATTGGTAAAGAATCATCTCCTAACAAGATGGCAGTTGGTTCAGAGGGTCTTGCAACATCTGTGGAAGAGATGGTCCAAGGACTACTTGAATAACTTGCAACAGCGCAATAAGTGGAAGACCATCTCTCCTAATGTCGATGTCAATACTTTAGTATTGATAAAAGAGGAAAGAATGCCCCCTGCAAGGTGGCTCATGGGCAGAGTGGTGGAGACCCATCCTGGGAAGGACGGCCTGGTTCGGGTTGTATCGGTGCGAACATCAGTTGGAGTGCTCCGAAGACCCTTGGTGAAGCTGGTGCTGCTGCCGGTGGCCCTTCCGGATCTTGATGGGACCCATCAACTCGGGGAGGAATGTTAGGGATTGTTTTGTTATTTTATTATTTGATTGTTACTCTGTATATATATGTCTTTATTACATTTGACCACGAGTGACTGGTCACGTGTGTATGATTTTATTGTATAAATAGTGTGCTTGAGAATAAAGTGTGTGTTATAAGTGGAGCCTTTGTAAGACTCGTGCTTTCACCGTAGGTTAGAGCTCGAAGAGCCCGCGTTAGTTATAGCAAGATCTTGGCGTTGACTATACCTCTGGAGAAAAGGTGAATAAAGAAGAACCAGCCAAAGAAAGAAGATTGGCGAACAATACGGGTACCAAAGCAAAAATCAAATGTCGACCACATGTGCACAGCAAACCAAACACCTTATCCGTCGATTGGGTGCCAGTGCACAAGAAAGTGGTAAACATTTCGTTGACAAAAACAGTGAAGTGCAAGCGAAAACAATTTCCTTGCGTGCCTGCTTGTGCAATTACGATCCACAAGGCCCAGGGTGGGACGTTTACTACAATTGTTTACAAGTACTCCTCAAAACAACCACAGCAATTGGTATATGTAGCCATGAGCCGCGTCACAAGTATCGACGGATTGTACATCATAACAGAAAAGGACTCTCCATTGGTTTTCAAACATGGCCGAGATGTAAACGACTCACAGACTACTCGAGAAATTCGCAATGAATACTTACGACTTCGTGGACACACTCTAGACACAATTACCAAACAAGCCGTAAAATTCTGTGACGACGCAACCGACGCTGGACAACTTATTGTAACGAACATCAACTGTCAAAGTTTAAGTACCCATGCCGCGGACATTGAAACAGATACAGTGATACCACGATCAGACTATTTAGTATTGACTGAAACGTGGATGCGCGACACTTGTGAACCAACTCCAATCAAGGGTTATGAGTGCGTATCCAGAGAAAATAATCGACCTAACTCAGATACCAACGCGGCTGGTGGAGTGGCGATCTATCGTAAATTATCATCGACATCTACGGCGGAAGGGTTCCAAGTTGCGATTACAGACGTAACTCGTGTCATTAAAACCAAGGGTGACATGTGCATGACTGAAGTTACTTGCTTCGCCGCTAATACTAGCTTCAAGTTTATACTCGGTGCTGTATATATTCATCCAGGAGCTAGTATGCAGGATATTGGAATGTTACTATGGCAAGGACTCGGTCCGTACATTCACAACAGCCAGTACGTGCCACCGTTCGTGCAAATTGATTCTAGTATACCGATTCTTCTGTGTGGTAATTTTAACAAAAACGTAAAGCCTGACAACTCGTTTCTTAATTTCATGAAAAATACGTATAATCTTGATTGCGTATCAAACGTTTCTAAGTCAACTACGTTAAAAGGAACAACTATCGACTTGACTTTCGCAAGACACATTACAGCAGAAACACTTCCTTTCATTTCATATTTCTCCTATCATCGTCCTATCCTCAACAAAATCACTCAAATAGGAATTAGTTAAGTTTAAGTTTACATGTACAATGTTTTAGTAAACAAAATATATTTCTATAGTTAAAATTTGTGCAATTCTTATTTTCATTCAATTCCTTGTTCCTATTGTGCAATATAATTATATTCATATCAATAAATATTCTACCGTTGTCACGTAAAATCTTCGCCCGTAAAACCGACTTTACAGGCAACCATTGTTTTGCTTCAATGTAATCTGCAATCAATGGAGTTTTTTAATAAAATCATCGATATATTTAGAGAAAATATCTCATATAATTCTATTTACAATTTTGAAAACGAAATGTAACATTAAGAATAATTTATTATTATTATTATAGAAATATCAGCTTTTTTGGTCGTTGAGGTACAGTTTGAACCATGCTGATGAGGGCCAACGGCTATAAACGCGCATGTAGTCAGCTTTTCTTGATTAATAAAGAATGGTTATTCAACCAATTCTGATGTAATTAGAAATCAACGATTAGTTGATATTTATTCCAACAGATGGCGCAAGCCATCAGAATCTTTTAGTTGCACGATCAGAAGATGCCTTTTTCTTAAAATATATCCACTTGAACCCAATACAATTTCTATTTTGTTCTATATTTCTGAAGATAAGATGCTTTCAATCACCTCAAAGAAGATTAAACATGTTGTGAAAGTTTGCCTCATTAGCTGTAGAACCTTCAAATCAATAGTACAATTCACAAAAATTCAAAAGGAAATAATGTTTCAAATTTCATCTGAATTAATCACAAAGTAAGTTAGAATAAATAAAATATTCTAAATATCTTTAAAGATTATATACATCTTGTCTCCTTCAAAAAAGCAAAAAAACAAGCCATTAAAGGCTTTCCTCTTCCTTAAGGTTTGTCCATGAGTGTATTTTCCCTTTGAACTCAAGAATTAATCAATAAGAAACAATGTTTTTATTTAATAATACAATCATTATAGTTGTATTGTGACAGATATTTTCTCATATTCTAAGAATAATCTCTATTTTGTTTAAAATAATCTGATTTGAAGTGTTAAATAAAGGTTGTCAAACGAAAATGATTTTATCAAAAGAGTTTTCTTATACTATATCCAAAATCATTGTTATAATTATTTGATCAGATAAGAAATTGGAGAAAAGAAAATGATCCAATAATCTATCCTAAATCACTCACGATGGATATTCATCCTTCAATCCAGGCCAGCTCTAATTGACAAATCAATAACATGAGACAATAGTAAATCGCCCATCAAATCTTTCTATATCACCACAATATCTGCAAGATTGATGTTCACCCTTGAGGATAGTTCGATTTTTTTTTTTGAGATTCTCTATAATTCCAATATACCTATAAGTGTCTACAAGGTGTGTGTGATTGGTAATGAATTTATCATCTATCAACATTATACAGTATTTCCTATCCCTGGACACTTTTATTTTTCCGTTTATCATTACTCTTCACAATTCACCCTTTCATACCTCATTCAAAAGGTTAGAAATGGTCGTTATTTCTCCTTGAAATAAATTTTGATTTTTCGTTGAAAAGAAACACATGCGGGATAGTATTTCAAATGTCGTTTTACAATTATAAGCCTCATTATATTATATACAGTAGAACCTCCTTTTAGCGGACACCCCGATTACGGACACCTTTCTACAAAGGACAGTTTTCATTTGAAAAAAAATACCATTTTTACTATTTAGCAATTCTCCGGTAAGAAGACACTTCTCCCTAAAGGAAACTTTAGCTTTTCAATAATGTGTCCTTTACAGGAAAATTCTACTGTATATAGGTAAGTACCCAGCTTTATTATATTCAATATAAATTATAATTATATTTCCGGTAAAATATTATATATTTTTTAAAATTACATATAATTAACTACTCAGCAAAAAAATGTTATTTTCTAATTTATTCGAATTAGCAAGCTTTTGTGTTTAATACAACTTTTTTTTTTGCTTATTCCTAATAAACGTGATAAATGGCCATCATAATCATGGTGGGTAGAGTAGGCGACTGCTTTACTGTAAGTGCACCACATGTCTACATATGTGAAAAGCAGTTCGACTTTGCACTTACAAATGTGACAGAGCCCCGTTTGATTGCTTGCACTCGCTGGTGGAGTTGAACTTTTCAAGAATCGGGGGGCCATTGGAGCATTTTCTTTTTAACAGAAAAAAGTTTCCAATGCGGGAATCGAATCCGGGTTGTAGTGGTCGAAAACCAAACGGTTTAACCTGCCTTCCACCGACCCCCAGAAGTATCTATAATGATTGGTAATGGATTTATCATCTACCAACATATACTCGTATATTGTAACAAAAAATTTATTACATTTTACGTACAGAATATTTATTTTTTGATATTTATATTATTTATGTTTTACTACTCTGGAAACTTCTATCGTTGCTTATCTTGTATCTTATAAATGTTGATTTACTAGCCGAATGACCCGGGCAACGCCCGGGTTTTACCCGATTAAATGCTTTTATTCAAATACTATTCGTTACAATTATAAATTGGCGCCGTGGATGTCATTCTTGTGAAACGTCCCGCTCCAAACTTTGTGTCCGAGAAGCGATATTTTTATTACGTATATTACTTAAAAGCATTCCATTCACAAAAGCAAACGATGACAGAATTGATGACTCTGATACTTGTATATTTTAATAACAATAATATGAATGAGTTTTAAAAATTGTAAAAAAAAAAAATGCATCGGCTGGGAATCGAACCCGGCCCGCCCGGGTGGCAGGCGAGCATTCTCGCCGCTGAACTACCTATGCTTATAAGAAATGGCCATATTTGGGTATTTATTCCATTGATTGTTGATTATTGATGACTCTGATACTTGTATATTTTAATGTTTGTGCCTTAAATAAATTGATGGATCGTCCTGAAATCTGTCTTTTCTAATTTCCTACGTTACATTTGGTGGAGATGCTGGGTAGATTAGGGAAGACAAACTGAGGATTGTCGAGAAGGCTTTTGGTGCTGTGATCTACAATTTCCAAAGAATGGCTCCAGGATTCCACCGCCCTGTCAAAGTCAAGGCTTCCCTACAAGAAGACGATGTACCTATTGACGATACGACGCCGAAGCCGCTCTTCACGCCGCAAGAGAAAGATGCCAAGCTACAAAAGACAAAGTTTCAAGACTAAAGAAATCCTTAGCAGAAGCACGTTAGATCCATGTCAGTATATACAATATTTGCAAGTTGTGGGTCACAGCTCTCATAGGAAAGAAGCTATGTAGCAAGGTATTTATTATATTTTACCTACAGAATATTTATTTTTTGATATTTATATTATTTATGTTTAACTACTCTGGAAACTTATGACATTGCTTAACTTGTATCTTATAAAATGTTGATTTGAGTTTGTGCCTTGAATATATTGCTGGGTCATCCTAATTTCCTACGTTACAGTATTGTTAAGTATATATCCAGCTTTATTATATTCAATGTTAATAATGTAATTCTACCTGGTCAAATAAGTATGTGATTATACCTTGTAATATAGAAGAAGAAAGGAAAGGAGAGAAAGCGAAACATTGTTTGCCTGTTGCGTGGATCTGAGTGACTTCATAAGACACGCTCGCATCGAAAGAGTTGTTGTTACCTTTTGTATTTATAATAATAAAGTTGAATTAATCTATTTATATCTTAATATTTTATTAAATAAAAATAAAGAGGAATATAACAAATATATTCTATAATTTTTTTAATTAATTATAATTAACTACATCTCAAAAAGGATGGGGAGGAATTTATTTTATAATTTATTCAAATCGGCAAGTTTCCTAGTTTGAGAACTATTCTATACATAAGCATTCATTCAAATCTATACATTTGGAATATATATATTTATTTGTACATAGCCCCCTTACGCGATACTATACTAGAGAACATCAGACTCGCTTTGAATATTGCTTTTATAATATTCTCTTAAAATGTTCACTGATTCTTCGATACCATACACTTTGCTTCTCTATTGTGTGCTGAATAAACCTTTTTCGGAGTAGTTAATTAAGTAATTAAAAGAAATTTTTGAAATTTCAAACACGATTGAATCAAATTATATATAAAATATAATTTTTTGTAGAAATAGTTTATTTTTTTATAACGAGAATGCAAGCTTTCGGATGTAACAGCCCTTCGCATAACTACGATATTACTATCGTGATTATACACGTTGAAGGGCTGTAAGGCCGAAAGCTTGAATCTCTATGATATTGATGATAAAGGTGTTTTGTGATGGTCATACAAAAAAAAGTAAACGTTCTTCCCCAGACTTATAGTTTATTAAAATCAATAAAGCATACAGGAGTAAGTTTCTTGTATAATTTTATTTCTCTAACTTTTGGGATAATATGCCCTTCAATAGGAGCAACTAGATGTATTCTTCTCCTAGTTTCTCCCGTTGAAGGAAATATTAGCCGGAAAGATAGGGAGATAAAATTGTACAAGAACTTAATCCTAGATATACCTCATTGATTATATTAAATTATTTCTTGTATGACCAACATAAAACTGGTTCATCATCAATATCATATATATTCTTTTGAAACAAGACGTTGGCTTGTTAATACTCATAGTATAAATTAATATAACTTTATAAAAATGATGATATATATCTTTTGAAAACACACTATTAATGAAAATATTTAAGAAATATGGAAATTTTGCCGAGAGGATAATGATCTAAAGAGACATGGGTCGCATCTCCCGTCAAAATAGACGTCAAAACCTGACGCAATATATTACCGCCATATATTAAGAAAAAGGGTGGCAATTTAGAATGATGTTCTGGTTAAAGACATTACCTATGGCAGAGGTGACGTGAGGCGGGGAGGAGTAAGCTTTGCTCTTGCGCCAGATGGTGTGAACAATGACGGTGTAGCAGGCAGCGATGAGCAGCGCAGGGATGAAGAAGAGACTGAGAGCCACTACAGAGATGTACAGCTGCCATTGTCCAGGCTGTAGCTCGATCCAACATTGCTCTCGGCCGCGGATCTTATCCGTGCGGCTGATGATAAGAGCTGGGATGGAGAAGAGAGCTGCAAGAGCCCAGGCTGCTCCAACCAGCCAGCGTGCTCGTTCCCCTGCAATCACACGGCACAAATTCACTTCATACTTCTTTTAGAGAAGCCTTGCTACCAAGAATTCCTTTTAATAACTGAATATATAAGCTAAGCATTACAATACAATATTAGAACGTTATTTATTTTTTTTTTGCCACATTTGTCAAAATTATTAATTTGTTTTTTTCCTGAATTATATATTATTCTTTAAAATATTTTATGTATTTTTTTATTGTGTCAAATATTGTGAAGGATATATAAGAGCTGTATATCTCTCTCGAAACATAAATTAATATTTTAATTTGAAAATGAGTCGTATAAAAATAAAGACAAATATTTTTACTTAACATTCAGTTAGATTAGTCATGCAATTCAACTTTAGGTTTGAAGTAGAAAGCTCTTCTTAACAAACAAAACGTTTTTTTTGTTTGTTTATCTCTAGTACACGTAGTACAGACCATGATAATCATGGTGGGTAGAAGTATGCGACTGCTTTTACTGTAAGTACACCATATGTTCACACATGTGAAAATCAGTTCAACTTTGCACTTACAAATGTGCCAATGTGCCGTTTGGTTACTTACACTCGCTGGTGGGGTTGAACTTTTGCAAGAATCGGGAACCATTGGAGCATTTATTTTTAATCAGAAAAAAATGCACTTTACGGGAATAGAACCCGGGGTCGTAGCGGTCGAAAACCAAAGGTTTAGATCATCCTTCCACAGACCCCCAGAACGTTATTGTATATTTAACTGTCGATATAGTTTAGAAAGGTAACTACTGATAAACCGTGCGCTACATATATTTTCAACTGCAGTAAGCAACTTTGAAACTCGTTTTATTTGTAAAATAACTGTGGTTTATATAGTCTCGATTTTAATATAAATTACTGTAATCTCTCTGTTCAAATGCTTGATTAGACGATATAACAAGTTAAATCAAATTGAAATGATGGGTTGTGTTACTGAGATATATCAAACATAATATTACCATCATATATTGATTTTCAATCTATCGGATTATGCAAATTCTTTCTATTAATACTCTTCATTAAATCCATTTTATTAAAATTGAATATATTAAAATATTATTTACATATTTTCTATTAAAAATAAAAAAGGCATCTCCTGACCACGAGCACATATGCTTTTTAGATGGCAGAGCGCCATCTAGTGGAGCAAAAATAAACTAAACGCGCTCTGCCATCTAAAAAGCACATGTGCTCGTGGTCAGAAGATGCCTTTTTTATTTTTAATATCAACAGATGACCCACTTATCTTTTATATATTTTTTATTTTATTTGACATATCGGACGCGATATCCTAACTTGGGATACTTGCGCCTAAATACATTTTAGCAACTTATATACAAATATTTATTCTTTATTTCGACTTAGAGCGCTATGTCCCCCTAGGTACACTTGCACTTTAAACATAAACAAACATTTTGAAAGAAAATAAAGATATATATTTTAAATATGTAAAGAATTAGTATGCAAGTTAGTTAGATGAAGAGATTAAAAAAATATATACAATTCAATAACGGGACTAAAAATAAAATTAAAACTGAAAAGTTGATTTTCTCTCAAAAAGAAAAGAAAATCTGAAATGTAAAATATTATATCGTTGAAATTTAAGAAAATACAAACCTCAGAAACAAAGTCGGTGGACAAGTGGGTAACACCCTCGATTCCTGACAGTCATGAACTGGGATTGAATCCCGCGGTAAAATTTTGTTTAATATGTGAATAACCTTCACATATATTATTCACTGTTTCAATTATCATGAACTAGGTGGCTCTTGCTGAGCGGTACCTATTAATGTGATTTTAAACCGAAGCGACAAACCTCAGAATGAAATGATAATTTATGCATAGCGAGAAACAGAATAAAAACTTATAAAATATAAAAGAAGAAATGTTCGAAGCTTACAATTTAGAAAAAATATTAACATCAAATTTAATGATTTGTTCATGAATAATATGTTTCCAAAATATTATGCATAGCCTGCAGGAACCTATTGCAACAATATCTTCAACTTTAAGAGGATTCATTAAAAAATCATAACATAAATTTTGAAACTGAGTTAAAGAATCGACAAAATGCCTAAATACAATCTATCTAAAATTAAGAAAAAAGGCATTTCCTGAAGTGCAACTGAAAGTTGCTGATGGCTTTCGCCATCTATCGGAATAAATATCAACTAGTCATTGATTTTTAATTATTGATGATATTTAATTAGTTGACATTTATTCCGATAGATGGCCCAAGCCATCAGCAACTTTCAGTTGCACGATTAGGAAATGCCTTTTTTTTATTTTTCTACCTGATCCAAGTACAAATTCAGTTTTGTACTATTTCTCACTATCTATAATTTTCAAAATTCCTATATATATATGTATAAAACAACATATATAATATTGTAATAAATTATAAAAATAATAATATTATAAAAGGTTTTGAATCTGAATCAAACTCTATGTAGATCACTAAACTAATAAAGTTCTAAACATTATTTCAAATTTTACAATGCACTAGCGCGCCATATGTTATCAAATTACAAAACTATTCTAGAGGCGTATGATTCTTTTTAAAATAAAACAATTTCTACTGCCCTTACTGCAATGGTAGATTAAACTGGCGAAACCGCTGGGAGGGTTCACCACTGATGAGCCAGGCCCTCCCTTTAATTTTTCCATTGCAGT